TTGCATTCATCTCAACTGGTGTATACTGCTGCAGACTCTTCTAGGTGCATCTACACTGTAGAATTAATGCGGTTTGACACTACTTTGGCTGCCATGGCACACTGCAATGGAAATCTGGAAGTTGTAGTTTGGCCAGCACACTTGGGCAGAAAAGGTCTTTGAAAACTACAACACCCAGGATCTTATAGTGTTGAGGCATGGCAGTTAAAGTGATGTCAAACTGTGCTAATTCTACTGTGTAGATGCACCTCTAATGATGCAACTTGTATGTCATATTTGGAAATATTGGAGGATATAAATAAACATATTACCTTTTCAAGGTAAATAAGGCAACCAATTAGTCAGTCTGTCTGTCTATCTATCTAATCTATGTATGAAAAGTCTAAGTTTGCATGTATATGTGTATGTATGTGTTTGTATACATTTTCCAAAATAGCCCCAACTTCCAGATAGCACTATAACTCTCGTCAACAATGAATCTGAACCAAACTTGGCACACAGACTCCCCATGAAAAACAGAAAATACTGGAGGGCTTTGGGGAGGATTGACCCTGGATTCTGGGAGTTATAGTTCACCCATATCCAGATGACACTATGAACCCAGTTGATGATGGATCTGGACCAAACTTGGCACATGTACCCATCACGACCAACTTCGAATGCTGGCAGAGTTTGGAGATAAAATGACCAATAGTGTTGGATACTGTAGTTTCTCCACAATCAAAGAGCACTATGAATCCATCCATTGATGGATCTGGATCACATTTGGCATACTCAACATAACCAACTCAACATAACCAACCACACATACTCAACATAACCAACTTAAAATACTGGTGGAGTTTGGGGGGAATTGATCCATGACATGAAGTATTGCAGATCATCCACAATCAAAGAACACTGTGAACCCAAATGACAATGGATCTGGACCAAACTTGGCATGCATTCCCAACATAAGCTATTTTGAATACTGAAAGGTTGTTGGGGTTTTTTTTGGGGGGGGGGAGGGTGACCCACGATTTTGGGAATTGTAGTTCACCCACAATCAAAGAACACTGTGAACCCAAGCAATGAAAGATCTGAACCAAACATGGCACTCATAGCCAACATAACCATCTTTAAATATTGGGGGGTTTGTGAAGGATTGGTCCATAATTTTGAGAGTTGTAGTCCACCCACATCCAGAAATCACTATGAACCCAATTGATGATGGATCTGGACCAAACTTGGCATACATTCCCAACATGGTCAACTTTGAACAGTGGTGTAGTTTGAGCGGGAATCCACTCATGATGTGTAATACTAATAGGTATTACAAATTATCTAACTCGGGCATTGTTGGGAATCCAGGCTAGCTTTAAAATAGACTTTCAATAGTAGTAGTTTCTAGTTTGAGGCCATATTATGCTTTCGAGAGTCATCTGGGAATACACTGCTGAGCTAAATATGGCACATATTTATCTTAGGTCCTACCACCTGATTTTATTGTCTTCTTTATTTTTGACGCTGACTTGCATGTTGCTGTTTTTATTCAGCGACATGGAACAGCTGCCTTGGAATTTGCCTACCATGATTTGCATGCTATATCCGTCACTCCTGATTTTTAGGGCTTGAAAAATAGGCTGAAAAGGAGCCGCTTCGTGCGCTTTCCTTAATGACACGCGTACCATATGATGAGAAAGAGAGAGGGCGAGACAATTTTACCTTTCCAGGCTGCACTATTGTATTGTTTTTACCATTGTTCACTCCTGTGGATTCTCTTAAGAGAGAAAAAAAGTGCAGATCCCACACTAGACCACCTTCTTGCTCCCATAGAAACTTTACCTGTAGCTGGAGACAATGCCATTTTCCTGTTGTTACACATGGCAAGCCTGCACAGATCAACTCAATGAGATGGACAGGCCACATACAGAACTGAAGAGTCCCAACATTATGCAGTGCATTCACAGCAGATGATGGGCAAAGACCTTGACTGATAGTACTGAGATACAAGGCTGGGAACAGTCAATTTGATTATCTCTGTAACATACTGGAAGCGAGGCATACAAACTCACTTCCAGTGAGTTGATATAACAAGGTGATTTTCCTGGTTATCCCTCAAGGTGGTTACTGAATTCTGTTTGTTGCAAAATGTCCTTTACCCCTCTACAGCTACAGAAAGTCAATCTGTAGGCTACTGTGCTGTGCATTATCCTTAATTGATCAATTATCAGATACCTGGACTTAGCAAAAGGCAAACAAGAGCCAATCAGTATTGGCTGATGAGAAACAGCCACAATGGCGGGTGCATGGAATCCGATCACATCTCTTTAAGAAATGTTGTAGGTACTGTGTCGAAAATGTGCATTGTTTACTGCTTGTAAACAACCTTTAAAGGGCACCAAATGGGCAAAACTAGCCCCAAACAACCCTAAACAGGACCTGAACAGCCTTTAAAGGTACCAAATTGTCAAAACTGGCCCCAAACAACCCTAAACAGGCCCTGAACATCCTTAAAAAGGTACCAAATGGGCAAAACTGGCCCCGAAAAACTTTAAGTCCTGAGCAACCTTAAAAAGGCACCAAAAGAGCAAAATGGGCCCAGAATAAACTCTGACCATCCCTTAACATCCCTTAACCAACCCCAGAGATCCCTCCGTTCTGAGGACCAAGATCTATTGGAAGTCCCCAGTGTCAAGACCTTGCATCTAACGGCAACCAGACGCAGAGCCTTCACAGCAGTGGCGCCATCAGTCTGGAATGCTCTGCCACCTGAAGTTCATGCCCTGCGGGACTTACCAGCTTTCCGCAGGGCATGTAAGACATACCTGTTTCGACAGACTTTTAATGTTTGATACTGTTGTTTTTAAATTTTTTTAAATTGCTTTTAAACTTTGTTAGATTTTAGCTATTCTTGTAAGCTGCTCCGAGCCCCAGGGGAGTGGCGGCATATAAGTTTAAATAATAAATAAATAAATAAACATGTACCAAATGGGCAAAACTGGACCCGAAATACACCAAATAAGCCCTGAACAACCTTAAAAAGGCATCAAATGGGTGAAACAGACCCCGAACAACCTTAAAAAGGCACCAGATGGGCAAAACAGACCCTGAACAACTTTAAACTTTCTGCCCGTAATACTTCGGTCTGCCTTATCTTTACTTGGATGTATCTACACTGTAAAATCAATGTAATTTTATTACCACTTTAACTGCCAGGGCTCAATGCTATGCCACCCTGGGAGTTGTAGTTTGCAGTCTTTTGCAGAGAAGCTGAAACTGCAGCTCCTTTGATTCTATAGCATAGACACATTGTAGTTAAAGTCGTTCCAGACTGCATTCATTTCACATCCTATTCATTTTAAATGCACCCCTTGAGCCATGAATGGTGAAGAAAACTGAATAACAACACTCTGCACATGGTTAGAGGCACTCTTGGTCTAATCACACCACAATGACTAGGATGATAGCAAATGTGGTATGTAATAAGCCTAAACACAGGACTAACAGCAGCAAAACCCGTCTCAAATTTAGGCCACAAGCCTAACCATCTTTACCATGATGAAGGCATGATGGAAAACCATAATACATATATTGGAAAATATATATTGGATGTAACCATATTAAAAATAGGAATTAGAAAATATAAAGGTATGTATGCATGATCTTCACTGGACTTGGAGAAATATTCTATTTTCAAAAGCTGCAATTTAAGATGACTCAGAGGCCAGGGTAAAGGAATGTCTGAGGTCTAGTAAATTTCAAGAGACTCTTCTATAGTGGTACCAGGCAAGGCTTATCATAAGATTAATGAGCTGGACATCAAGAGGCTTCAGGAAGGACTTATCTCAAGATGGATGGAAGCTCTTACTATCAGTGGCCTAGTAGACATTCCGGCGCTGTGATGGACAGCATGGTTCATTAATAGCAGCTCTTTAGATAAAGATGCTTAATGGAAGATTGAAAGGTGTTGAAATTAAAATATGCTATTGAAGTCAATGTAAAAGTAGAATTTTGTGATGCACATTGTGAGGCTTGTATGATGCATGCATATTATTTTAAAGGGTATATAAACCAAGGCCATTCCTTTGTTCAGTACCCTGTTTCCTGGACTACCAGCAAGGTCCATATCTGGTTGGCACCGACCGAGAATAAACCGTGCTTTTGCAGACCTCAGGAACTCTCTGTCTTTTTTCCTCAAACTTTCTCCCTGCCATTTCATCCATACCCAGTGGTGAATAAAATAATATATCAAGAAGCAGATATTCTTAGATGAGTTGATATAGTCTAAATTTTGCTCTGTAGTAATCGTTTTAACTAACTTCTGGAGGAAGCCAGCACATTTGTATGTATGTATGTGCACATGGATATGCATATATGTATGCATATACATACATACATATAGATATAAAAGCACTGAAAGGAAAAAAGTCACTTTTTATTCCCCCCCCCCCATAGTTTCTGAGCTTTACTTTTTATTTTATTGGTGTTTTTCCTTTTTATCTTTGATATAATTGACATAATTCTCTATATACCATATTCTATAACATATAGAATATAATATCAACAATATTATATTGTTTATATTATATTATATAGTCTAATATATATATTCTCAATTATACATTATACAATATTATATTGGATATAATTCTTTATATTCTATATTCTAATATATATATTCTATATTATACAATATATTATAGAATATATTATAATATTGATATATTTCTACCCTATATATTTATTCTATATTACACAAAATTATATATATATATAATATATATCTTATTATCTTTTATTATCTTATTATTTTTATTTTTTAATAAAAAAATAATACACATTTATCTTCCTATGCAAACACCTTGTGTCTTAATTGTATGTTTCCTTTGGCTCCTTTGACGCCCCCTTTTTCCTACACCTCCCTCGTTTTATTTTATTTTTCTATAGAAATCCCGCTATTGTTTTCAAAATCTTCTCACTTCCCTTTTTAGACTCCAACTGCAGCCCGGAACTCTAACCTTTCAGTCTGTGTTTCCAACCGGCCCCTGTAACACGGACTCTCTCTTTATAGTTTGACAGCTCGGGTAGAGACCGCCCTTCGCGACACGCCATTGGCTGCTCGTTCGGCATCGAGCACTCCCATTGGCTAAGAGCGGGTCGCGCTCGCACAGGTGTAGGGCGGGGGGAGCGGAAGCTGCCGCGCTCGAAGTTGAAGGGAAGGACGGTCACTATGGAAACGGGGCCTAGTGCCTCTCTCTGCAGCCTGGATCCTGGGCCTGTAGGCCTCACCCGTTCGTGGCCCGAATGCGAGCGATTTCCGCCGCCTTTGCCGCGCTCGGAGCCCTAAGGAATTGGGTAGGAGCCGGGCTGCTTCGGAGGGTGGGCCCCACAAGCTTGACGAGCGGCATTGAAAGCCAGATAAAAGCCAGATAATGTCGCGTAATGGCTTGGGTGTGAAGTTGGGGTTTGGGAGAGGCCTGTTCGCCCATGAAATGTACTGGAGGGACCTTTCTCTTTGAGTCTTGTTATTGTTGTTATTATTTGTTGTTGTTGTTATTTATTGTTGTTATTATTTTATTATGATTTTTGTTATTATGATTATTGTTATTATTGTTGTTATTGTTCATGTATAACCCACCTTTCTCCAAATTAAGGGACTTAGTTCATCTAATTTATTTATTTATTTACTTTGCTTATATACCGCTGTTCTCAGCCCAGGGGCGACTCACAGCGGTGTACAACATAGAAGAACAAGATTCAAAAGTCAAGACACAATCTAAAAAAATCAATCTGGCAATAACCAAAGACATCCATCATCAAAAACATCAACAATATCAATTGTACAAAAAGCCATTCACGTCGTCTCATCGTTTAAACCACAATCCAATATCGTTTTCCGTTGTTCCATTCCTGTCGTCATTACCAGTTATTGCACTTCTTGTTCAAATGCCTTCTTGAACAGCCAAGTCTTTAATTTCCTGCGGAATACCATCAGGGAAGGAGTCCACTATCTTGTTCGACCCCAGAGACTAGAGCTGCGCTTCTTGAACAGCCAAGATCTTTAATTTCCTTGTCGTACAATAATAGTCCTGCAGGGAATAGGAAGTCCCTGCGTCTGATGCCACGGGATGGTGTCTCCACAGCGCCGAGGGAGGGCAGGGGACACCACTACACCCCTAACTGGCAATGAGTCAAGGTGAGCCCCCCTACGCCGAGAAGCCCTGTGTCTCTTCTCTTACCACCCTGGGTCCCTCTCGCCACCCCGCTCCCTCTGTCTCTCGAGGGGTCCAGCGTCCTTCTCTTCGTCTCTGCGCCAGCCCCAGGCCCTCCGGTCCACCTCCGCCGCCTCGGCCGCCAGGCGTTGGCACTGGAGGCAGGCGGGACTCTAGAGCAGGGTCACGTTCCCAGAGGTCGCCCACAGGTAAGATCTCAAGCTCCTCAGTAGAGGCTCATTTTCAAACCTATAGAAGCCGAGAGGATCAAAGTCGGTGTGAGATCTATCTTGGGCCGGCAACACCATAGTTAGCTGGGGACTTTCATTAGGTACCAACTACCGCCATCTTACAGCAAGCCCCCCGTTAATTGTAGACCCAGTAAGCAGTATCGTTGCTTCGAGCCAGTGTGTCATCTTGGTGAACCAATGCAGGGGGAAAGGGGTTGTAGTACCAACCCTGTCATGCGCCCTAACAGTGGAGCTGGTACAACAAGGAGGCTGTATGCTCCCTGCGTCCCGCTCCTGTTAGTATCATGGCTGCCGCACGTTGGACCAGTTGGAGCTTCCAGGCCGTCTTCAAAGGCAACCCCACGTAGAGAGCGTTGCAGTAGTCTAAACGGGATGTAACCAGAGCGTGGACTACCGTGGCCAAGTCAGACTTCCCGAGGTACGGGCGCAGCTGGCGCATCATTGGAACTTGTGCCACAAACACCATCTGCCTGCGACAAAGAACTGGTGGGATCACAAGCCGGAAAAAGTTACAGAAAATGAACACGTCAAGCTACTCTGAGACTTCCGAATTCAGACAAACAGAGTTTTGGAGCACAATACTCCTGACCTCACTATCGTGTTAAAAAACAAAACAAAGTATGGATAGTCGATGTTGCAATCCCAGGTGACAGCAGGATTGAAGGGAAACAACTGGAAAAGCTGACATGAAATGAGGATTTAAAGATTGAACTGCAAAGACTCTGGCACAAGCCAAGTGGTCCCAATGGTGATCGGCACACTGGGTGCAGTGCCTAAAGACCTTGGCCTGCACTTAAACACAATCGGCACTGACAAGATTACCATCTGCCAGCTGCAGAAGGCCACCTTACTGGGATCTGCTCGCATTATCCGCCGATACATCACACAGTCCTAGACACTTGGGAAGTGTCCGATGTGTGATCCAATACAACAGCCAGCAGAGTGTCTGCTGTGGACTCATCGTGTTGTGTTTCAAATAATAATAATAATAATAATAATAATAATAATGTCACAATCACAGGGCCATATACTCTATAGTATCAAAACAGATAATCCACACTAACTGAACTGGATTATATAAGTCTTTACTGCCATATTTATTCCCCCCCCCCCCAATGAATTATATAAGTCTATACTTATACCCCTCTGTTCTTCTTGGGAGACCCTTCTTTCACCCCTGCCAATTTTACAAGCTCATCTGGTAAGTACAAGGGAGAGAGCTTTTCCCTCTGTGCCCCCCCCCCCGACTCTGGAACTCACTACCTGGAGAAATTAGGAAAGCCCCTACTTTAAGAAACCTTTAAAAAGGACCTTAAAACCTGGCCCTTCCACTGCTCTTTTGATGAATAGGTTTACATTCTCACACTATTGCTAGCCTCAATGTTTTGTCATTGAAGAATATGTCCGTCCTCCCCTTTGTGGGAAAGCCTGATTCCACAACCCCCACTATAATGAGTCCTCCTCCACTAATAATCTGTCTCTCTCTTATCTCACCTGAGTTTTAATTAGTTTTAATCAGTCTCTCTTTTAATCATTATATGTAGCCCGCCCATTGTCAATGTGATTGTGCCTATTGTAATTTTATATTGCTATGTTTTCATATGCTTTATATAATTATGTTGTTTGTTGTTTATTGTTTGCGTTTTCGGTTTTATTTTATTGTAATTTGCTGTTTGGGCTTGGCCTCATGTTAGCCGCTCCGAGTCCCCATTGGGGAGATGGTGGTGGGGTATAAATAAAGTTTATTATTATTATTATTATACTGCCATATGGAGCTGCAATATAATCCAGTTCAAAGCAGAATCTGGATTTCATATGGCAGTGTAGAAGGACCCCCAGAGATAACATCAGGATACTAACTGGACTGGATGGGAATTAAAAAGATCCCACTTTCTTTGCTGTGGTTTGTATTGTGACCATGCAATTGTAAAAACAATAGAAAGATAGAATCATAGAGTTGGAAGAGACCTCGTAGGCCATCCAGTCCAACCTTCTGCCAAGAAGATGAATTCAAATAAACTGTGAAGCAAATGCAAATTGAAAATGAGCATGAAATATATGAGGAGGATATATTGGTGTTTGTCGTAGCGTAAGGGGATATATATGGTGTTTTTTTTTTAAAAAAAAACAAACCCAATGGATTCCATCATTTGGGAAACTGCACTTTTTAAAAAATTGAATTATTTCTTATCTTTACTTAATTTTTATCCCACTTCTCGCAAGATATATATAGGGATCAAGGTCGCTAACAAGAAATAACCAAAAGGGTTGCATGGAAAAATCCCAAGAGATGAGTCAGAGGAATTATACAGGAGAGAAATCATAGAATCATAGAATAATAGAATTGGAAGATGACCACATGAGCCATCTAGTCCAACCCCCTGCCATGCAGGAAAAGCACAATTAAAGTACCCCTGACAGATGGCTATCCAAGCAAACTACAATTTGTTTTCTTCATTGTGGATCTAGTTTTCTTTTGCTCTTTTTTTGAGTTCCTCTTTTGGAGGATATTCACTCTCCCTGAGCTTTTTTAGCCCCACAAGTTTGATCAGGGATTCAAGGCATTGTTGCAATGCTCTGCAGATAGACTTTTCTTTCAGCCATTTTTCAGGCTCTTCCTTTTGTGAGGACAGAACAAACAAATCCTGGTCCCCTCTGCATTTTGTGACTCAGAATATAAGTGACTCTGTATTTCTCAGGAGGAAATATTATTTTTATTTACCAGCAGTTCTCTTATCATGCCTCCTGGGAAGCCAGGGAATAGAGACTCCTTGGTTCTGCAGTGTGAATGGGCGATGTGCAGCTTTGTGGCGTCACAGATGGAAGAGTTCTGTGAACATGTGTCCAAGCACTTGAAGCAGCACCTTCATGGTGAAGACGAGGAAGATGACATGGATTCACTTGGTAAGAGGCACTGAGTACAAATGCAACTGACCCTAAAGCTTTTTAATCTAAGTTGTGCTGTTACTAAAACATTTTGACATACCTCCCAAAATATTGTTGTGCCTGTTGGCTAAACATTGGTGATGACTCTCTTGGTTGTATTAATGAGAACATAATTCTTTAGAAGTTGAGATACATGAATGCTTCAGGAATTGGAAAGTAGGACTCCTTCTACATTGCCATATAAAATCCAGATTATCTGATTTGAATGGGGTTATATGGCAATGTAGACTCATATAATCCAATTCAAAGAAGGTAATGTGGATTATCTGAGTCCCCCCTCGGGGGTGAGAAGGGCGGGGTATAAGTAATTGAAATAAATGAAATAAAGAAATAAATCTGCTTTGATGATCTGGATTATATGCCCATGGCCCTATTGTGGTGGTATTGGTCTTGGGATACTTAACATTTTCCATTAATGACATTCCTATATAAGTAGTCAGTACTTAGATTAGCTGCACTGTGATTGTGAATGTCTAATGCCAAGTTGCAGATTCTTCCATGATGGAATTTTTGGAGCGTGAGGGTAATGCAAGATACTGATGCAAGTACACACGAGCCATATTCACACATCAAACTAAGCTATATTTTTTCTGAGTCATGATTTGCTTCTCTTTAGCATTCATTGTTCCATCAACAAATAAATAAACTACAATCTGCATTCCTCTTTGTGGGTCTACTTCTCTTTTGCTCTTTTTTCAGTTCCTCTTTAGGCAAACAAGCCAGGCGCAAACCATGATGCTGAGTTCAGTCATAACAACATAATGTATAAGCCAACAACAAGCATAGTTTCTGATTTGTGGTTTGGGCTGATAAACAAAATATGGAGAACGCGTATGGTTATTTATTTATTTATTTATTATGGTCAATGACCAGCACCAATTGCGTATGGTTGAATTCTGGCTTGTTGTATCCAAACAGACTTATCATTATAACTATATAGTTAGTAGAACCAGGCAGAAAGGCCTGGTAATGATTTTATGTGGGCAATGAATACAAGGAAGCTCTGAGCAGCTTAGAAAATAGTTATGTTTTAAAAAGTGATAAGTTTAGAAAATACAGGCTTGTGTATAGTTTTTGGAAGCTGAGATTCCACTTATAATATGTTTTCCCCCAAAAGGCAGTCAGTATTCTTCGCCTGAAGCAGTGAGAGAAGATCCAGATACTCCTGTTTTAACAACACCTCACAATAGTTGTCAAATTATAGAAACATTGTGTAATAAGTTTGAGTTTTGATATATGTATTTTATTGGGTGTATTTTATTCCGATATGTTTTGACTTTGTTGTACTCTACCTTGAGCAGTAGGGAGAGGTGGATAACAACTAAAATCAATAATAATAATAATAATCATCATCATCATCATCATCATTTGACCCTCATAAACCCCAGCTTCTCACCCAAATGTAATTTCCTCTACTCTTTTCTTCTTTTCCCCCTCCTATTTCAGAAGAATACTCTTGCCTTTGGCAGGAATGTGGGTTCTGCTCTCCAGAAAATCCTGCGGAGCTGGTCCGCCATGTTTACTTCCACTGTTACCACACTAAATTGAAGCAGTGGGGCCTGCAAGCCTTGCAGAGCCAGTCAGACCTGACCCCCTGCCAGCTGGACTTCCAGAGCCGGAACATCATCCCTGAAATTCAGGAGAACTTCCTCTGCCTATGGGAATATTGTGAGGTAATCATTTGGTCTGCTGTGGTCATTTAATAATAATAATAAAAAATAATATCCATTTGAATTGGTTGGGAGAGGTTATAGACAGCTTCTATGGACAATGCAGTGGATTTTACAAACATACCAAACACCTTTTTTCAGGCCAGTAAAAATCTGTACATATTTTCTTTATCTGTAGAAACATTTCAGTCTGTACAATTTGTACCATAATTCAGAAACACTTGGGGACTGATTTTTGCCAAGCACAGGGGAAACAAACATTAAACATTTTTTCTGAACACATCTATCCAACTTTGACAGACACAGAAGGGCTCAGCACTGTTCCAGTATTGCTCCCTTTCTACATCAGTAGTAGATTGAAATGTACAGTTATTTACAGTAGGTGCTTTTTGGAGTGATACAGAGATTCACAGGAATCTAATTCCTTTTGAAGAACCATTTTATTTGTAGACCAAAGGGCAAATACAAGTTCCCCTGGGGACTTCCAACATGGATCTATTTGTTTGTTGTCATGGTGCACCAGGAGAACATCCCAATTTCTTTGTTTTTCCATCAAGCGAGCGTTCGATAACCCTGAGTGGTTCTACCGGCATGTAGAGGACCACAGTTTCTGCACAGAGTACAAGGCCATCGGAAAAGAAAATCACATGGTCTTCTGTGGCTGGAAAGGTAAGGATAAGGAAGTCACGGAAAATGTCATTCTAAATCCAGTATGTGTGTGTGTGTTGAAAGTGTGCCCTGAAAGCTATTTGCAGACCTTCAATCTCACTCTTCAGAGGCCTGGAATTTTCCTGAAACAAAATATGTGGAAAAAAATGGAGTTTAAATATTAAATCCTATATTATGCATGAATGCCATACTGCAGCTAATATCACTTTATTCAGAATTTGCAAAGTTGAAGAGCTGCCCTGTACAAATAAAATAAATTTGGTGGAAGGGCTGAAATTGAATTATTGTTCATGAGTGACTTCGTGCTGTTGAGGAAACCTGGCTGTAGCTTTTGTCTTCTGCGCAGTACACAGAACAACCCCCTTAATGTTTAAGTTCATAGTTATATGTCGTAATTAATTATTATGATTTCCTTGTGCACTCTGTGTTGGCATTGAATTTTTGCCATTAGCATGTTGTAAACCGCCTTGAGTCCTCCCAGGGGTGAGAAAGGTGGTATATAAATACAGTAAATAAATAATTAAATAAATAGTACTAAAAAAAAAGAAATCCCATGTGTTTGTGAAGAAGCCTTTGATAAACTTTTAAGGAATGCTGACACCCACCTGACTTTTCCTTTCTTGGTTCCTGCTTGGTTCTAGACTGCGACTGCACCTTCAAGGGCCGGTGCAAGCTGCGTGAGCATCTGCGCAGCCATACACAGGAGAAGGTGGTGGCTTGTCCTACCTGCGGTGGGATGTTCTCCAACAACACCAAGTTCTTTGACCACCTCCGCCGACAGACGGCTTTGGAACGTGAGTAATGGGAGGAGGCCCTAACCACCCCTAACCGCTATGGAAGCAGCCGCCTGGATCTTTGAACAGGAGCAGAACAAAGAGCAATAGTGAATACAGAAAGTTCCTCTCCTGATCTTTGGAAAAGCACTTTGAAGACTCTGTTTGATATGTTTCTACTTCAAGCTTTTGGAATCTGACTTCTGCTTTCTTACACTTTAGTCTGGAGAGTATGTGCTGTGTGCTTTGAGATCTCTCTCTGCTTGTGTGCCAGAAGAGATGTAGTGATTTGAGTTTTTCCCTCTCTTGAAACCTTACAAGAGATGGGTGTCAGAGTAGCTTAGACCCAGTCCTTTACCATGAAGAAATGCAGTTATTTCTTATTATTGTAAATAACACTTTGGTGATTTTTAAGATTGGACTCTGCATCTTTGCCTCCTAAGCTCTGGATTCTTTACAGCCACATCACACGGCACTTCATGCTTTGCTCGCTAATGAGCTGGTGCTCAATTTTTTGTATTCTGTTCATGTTTTTGGATGCTCTGCTATATTTTAGGATATTTTCCCCTAACATAGAGTTCATACATTTTTTAAAAAATAATCTTTATTTAAGGTTTTTTTAAAAAACAAACAAACAAACAAACAAAATATAGAAAATTCAAACAAAACGAACAAAAAAATAGTCATAAAGGAAGAAAGAGTAAAGGAAGAAAAAGGAAAGAAGGAATAATTTTTTAAAAAATGTGAAAAAAATAAAAATGAAAACACGGCATAGTGTTTAAAATAAATAAATAAATAAAAATCTGTAGCAGGGTGGTATGTATCTCCTTAGTTGACTTCCTGAGTATCTTCCTAGTGGTTTTTCCTCTTCTTTCTTTTGTCTTGGCTTTTCTTCCCTCTTGTTTTTTCTTCCTTTTATATTATTATATTTCTATTTTTCTGTTTCAAATAATTTTTCACTTTTGTCCAGGCAGTTTCTTTTATTGGGGTCCCTTTGTTTATTGATATATTCATACATGACCAAAAAAACCCAATATTGGCATAACAGGTCCCAAAAGAGCTAAGAAGATTTCCAAAAGAATGAGGGATGTTGCTCAAAGCCGCTATATCTTTTTGTGTCCAGCCTTTGTGCTGTACCCGCTTCACCTTCCCCTGTTGCCCACAGAACAGCGTTTCCAGTGTTCCCACTGTTCTAAGAGGTTCGCCACAGAGAGGTTGTTGCGGGATCACATGAGGAACCATGGTAAGTGTTGGATAAGAAAGGCCCCTTTCCGTAGCTCCGATCCTTGCTGCCAACAGTTCCTAGCCATGACCTCTTCTCTCCTTCCTTTTGCGTAGTCAACCACTACAAGTGTCCATTGTGTGACATGACCTGCCCTCTGCCCTCCTCCTTGCGCAACCACATCCGCTTCCGGCACAGTGAGGAGCGGCCCTTCAAGTGCAGTTACTGCGACCACAGGTAAATTGAAACTGGGCCGAAGGAAGTGACTTTTCAGCTGGTGGCATGGAGTCCCTTTGGCTAGAGTGGCATATTGGGATGCCCAGTTGGTATAAATTAGGCAGATCTTTTTGGCAGGACAAACTTCCTGTCTTAGGCGGAGAGCCAAAGCAGCCAAACTCCTTGCATGCTTTTAGGGTGAAAAAAATTATGACTGGTCTGTAATTCTGAAATTAGCAGTTGAAAGGCGAGACATCCCTCTTCCTGCTTCTAACTTCTGCAAACCATCCTAAGCTACTGTTGGGACTAGGAAAATGTAAAGTGAACTTCACAAAGTTAGAATGGATTAAGAGAAAGAAGGAGGGGTATGAAAAGAAGCAAGAAGACGTGAATGTGGATAGATAAGGTGTTGCTAAAGCATTGCTAAGATGGAGAGTGTAGATTTGGATGAGAGTCCAGAAAAGATCAGACTGACCCAAGAGACAATGTGAGTGGGGAAAAGAATGAGCATGAATTGTTTACAGGATTGTTTGGGAACACATGAAGTGTTTATGAAACAGAAAAGAGATGTGAGAAGGATGTGAGAAGAAATATTGCAGACAGACAGAAAGAAGGGGAAAGGAATGGTTGATTTCATGTGTGTTGTATCAGTTTGAGACTAAAACCCATGATTCCGAGACTGTCAAACATGGCATTTACTTGACTCGATTGCAGACCACCCCTTAGTTATTTCAGAATCAAACTATTGAATTTTTATCGCCTCTTTTCTAGTCTTTGAATTTGGAAATAAAAGGCTAGAGATATTGGGGCACTGTGCATCAACACAACTGTTCTAGTATTCATATGCAAGAATGTTAGGACTGTTTTTTCCTTTGTTGTATGCTCCTTCCAGCTGTAAGAATCTCATTGATTTACGGAAACACTTGGATACGCACAACAAAGACCCCACTTACCGCTGCGAGTTTGAGTCCTGCAGCTTCAGCGCCCGGTCCCTCTGCTCCATCAAGCTGCACTACAAGAAGGTCCATGAGGTAAGAAAAGAGTCATGTAATCCAAGGGCTGATCCCGAGAAGAGCACAAAAGAATGAGGGACGGCCAGGATCTTGCATATCTTGCAACAGAGAACCCTAGTATCCAAATTTAGTTAGTAATAATAATGGGAAATTATCGTTTCCATTTGATGTTTGATGTTTTGTCTTACGTTTATTATAATAGGCTGTTCTTTTTATTTAATTTTAATTTGTAAAGTTAATTTTTCGTTTGTTAAATTTAAAGAATGGGAATATGTTGGATTGTATAAATTTTGTTAGTATGGATGTATTGTTGTTGGATTGGGGTATTGAATGTTTGCCTGTTATGTTTGGAATCCGCCCTGAGTCCCTTTGGGGAGATAGGTAAAGGTAAAGGTAGTCCCCTGACATTAAGTCCAGTCATGTCTGACTCTGGGATGTGGTGCTCATCTCTATTTCTAAGCCAAAGAGCCGGCATTGTCCATAGACACCTCCAAGGTCATGTGGCCGGCATGACTGCATGGAGCGCCGTTACCTTCCCGCTGGAGCGGTACCTATTGATCTACTCATATTTGCATGTTTTCGAACTGCTAGGTTGGCAGAAGCTAGGGCTGACAGCGGAAGCTCACGCCTCTCCCCGGAATCGGACCTGTAGTAGTAGTAGTAGTTGTAGTAGCATCAAGTTCAGGATGACAAACACACAGCCTGTATTTAAGCTTAGCTGCATCATGTCTGATTGATATTTTGTATCATGTTCTGGAAAATATCCTAGTCATTTGGAAAGTGTAGGCGTCACTTGAGTTTGTCCCCTATTTATTTATCCCTAGCTGTCCTCTGCCGCGCATTGCTGTGGCCCAGTCTGTGTATGTGTTTTGTGTGTATATATGTATATATGTGTGTGTATATGTGTATATATGTGTGTTTGCATGCATGCATGCATATATATATATGTGTGTGTGTGTGTGGTTTTGCACATGCATTGTAAAGTATTTTTTTATTTTTTGGCTTTTAAGTCCCTTCCACTGTGTTTTTCAGTATTTTTATGAGTGATGGTCACTTTTCTTTTGTTTTGCCACATTGGACCCTTATTTCCACATTATTTCTGTCTCTGGAATCAAATTTTCTGTTAAAGAAGCAATGTCGAGGAATATGTATCTTCTTCCTTAACTGAGGTGTACCTGTAATCCAAATGGGATATAACCAAAACATGTGTCACTGTAGCCAAATGCTCTGTATAGTCATTTAGCTTTGTAGAGGGTTTAAGTTCTCTCCGGTTAATTTTTTGTTGTTTTTTTTGAGTGAAGGACATAGATTGCTTTAGTTGGTGCATTGTGTCCAAATTTGGTGTCAATTCGCCCAGTGGTTTTTGAGTTACGTTAATCCCACAAACGAACATTACATTTTTATTTATATAGATGTCAGAAACCAATTGATGGTACAGTTTGCAAATGGAGAAATAGCAACAGATAGATATATTTATGTTTATTTTTATATTTTTATGTTTGTGCTTTCACAAATATAAGTCTGTCTTATGGGCCATAATGTCTGAAAGTCAGTTTAAAAAACAAAACCATGATGCTCAAAGTCTCAGTTGCGGAATTTCATACCCAGGACCAGTTTCCCTCTGTGTTCTGCCAGCTTAGAACTGGGATCCATCTGTTTGTTGACCCAAAAGGCTGAACATGGTTCACAGAAACATGTTTGTTTTTTTTAAAATTCCTTCTTTTGCTTTTACCTCTTTTCCAATGTCAGGGTGACTCTGAGCCCCGCTACAAATGTCACATCTGCGGCAAATGCTTCACCCGCGGGAACAACCTTACGGTGCATCTGAGGAAAAAGCATCAGTTCAAATGGCCTTCGGGACACCCTCGTTTCAGGTACATGGACTGGAGGCTGGGCTGGAGAACATTTCCCTACTTTGAATGGTCTACTTTGTAAGACAGTGGTTCTCAACCTGGGGTCCCCAGATGTTTTTGGCATACAACTCCCAGAAATCCCAGCTAGTTTACCAGCTGTTAGGATTTCTGGGAGTTGTAGGCCAAAAACATCTGGGGACCCCAGGTTGAGAACCACTGTTGTAAGATGTGCAACTGAAAGGCGGTGTAGTTTATTTTTATGGAATGGAAGCCACATTTTTAAAGAATGGGAACTCCTTTCAACTCCTGTCAGCTGACGGCTGTCACTTTGTGCCAGAGGGCATTCAAAACGGGTGGGATGAGGTGGCAGCTGTCAGCCAAACTGAATTTTAGGGATCTTCCCAGCCTTAAATCATGTCCTCTTCCTAAATTAATACAGGGAGGCGATTTCACATCTTTCGTGTGCTCCAAACACTGCTCTCCCAGTTTATGTTGAACTTCTGAACCCTTGACAGTTTGATTCCAATCTGTTTGGTCTTGCAGGCCTCTTTCCTTCAGGCGGCAAAGACAAGAAAGCAGATTTGAGAGGCAAACTGGGTTTTTATTGCCTTTCTGGTTGCCACATTTACTAAAGCAACTCTCCCTGCTGTGAAATTGGAGACGAGGATGCAGATATAAATGCCCGCGATGGCTAAAATCTCATATATGGCTGACGTTACTAAAACCACAGAAGTTGTGATAAGCAGGCTAAACTTTGGGGCCTCCTGATGTTGATGTCATGTTTTTTGGATGAAGGAAAGTGGATGTGTTGTCTCCTCTCTCCCCCATTGCTGTCACCTGTAGCTCTTTCATGTTGGATACATATAGACATTTAAAGAGTCTTTTTAGCTTGTATGCTACCTTTTCCTATACATAACTTATGTATTTTGTAGTAATATGTTTTAATGTGTGTATTTTATATAATTATTTGTTTTTAACTTTATTGTAACCCACCTCAAGATACAAGGAGAGGCGGGTAATAAATATATTTATTATTATTATTATTAACATCATCATCATACAAGGTAGCTTCCAAAATCAATTGAACCAAGGTACATCTAAACAAGTTGGGTTGCTGTGAGTTTTCCGGGCTGTCTGACCATGTTCCAGAAGCATTCTCTCCTGACATTTTGCCCACATCTATGGCAGGCATCCTCAGAGGTTGTGAGGTCTGTTGGAAACTAGGCAAGGGAGGTTTATGTATCCGTGGAATGATGTCCAGGGTGGGAGAAAGAACTCTTGTCTACTTGAGGCAAGTGTGAATGTTGCAATTGGCCACCTTGATTAGTATTTAATGGTCTTACAGCTTCAAAGCCTGGCTGATTGCTGCCGGGGGGGGGGGAATCCTTTGTCAGGAGGTATTAGCTGGCCCTTATTGATTCTTGTCCGGAATTCCTCTGTTTTTTGAGTGTTGGTCTTTATTTACTGTTCCGATTTTAGAGTTTGTTAATATTGGTAGCCAGATTTTCTTCATTGTCGTGATTTCCACCTTTCTGTTGAAATTGTTTACATGCTCGTGGATTTCAGTGGCTTCTCTATGTAGTCTGACATGGTGGTTGTCAGAGTTATAAAATGAACTCTTATATTTTAATGATGATGATGATGATGATGATGATGATGATGATGATGATGATAATACATTCTGACAAAATTACCACATGTCAGCTGCAAAAGGCCACCCTACTTGGATCTGCATGCATTATTTGCAGATACATCACACAGTCCTAGACACTTGGCCAAATACAGAAGTCAGCATAGTGATCTTGTTTGCTGTGTACTAATCTTGTTGTGTATCAAATAATACATTTCACTGGTTTTCCGCCTCTCCTGAAAGCTCAAGGCAGGGGACAAAACATAAAAATACATACAACAAAATACATGCACTAAAACACATGGTGCAAAGATACTACAAGCATTAATTATGTAAAATCATTTCAAAATGAACTCCTTGAAAGCATATTTCTATAAAGCAGGGGTTGGAATTCGTAGATATCGTTTGGTTGCATTTCCTGTGTCCTTTTATCAGTGTAGCCAGCAGTGTGGTTTGGCAAGAGTTGCAGTTTCTCAATGTCTGCGGGGCTGTTGTTTTTCCCAAAGTGGTTTTAAAGGGATCAGGAAGTTTCCATGAAATCACCACTTGTTATGTGTTCTCAGCAGAAGCACTAGATGGAGCAACTGAGTATTTTCGGTACATCTTTTGACAGAAGTGTCACTTTTTTCAATGGGGCAGGGATTGGATTTGACTACTGCTGTATGGGACTGTAGAGCATCTACGACATTTCTACTTCAAGAATGGGTGGAATTGTCCAAAGGACTTTCCTTTTCCCTTTGACCAGTGCTGACAATTTAGTCCTCCTGAATCCACTTTGTTGTTGTTGTTGCTTTATTTGTTGCCTGGCATGAGACAATGTACAAAATGGCTAAAAACACATCATATATTTTCTAAATAGAGGATAAGGAACCATTGATCACTTACAGAGTGATTAAGTTTTGTGCAGCAGCTGTAACAATAAAGAGGCAGTTTGTGGATGTTTTAACTTACTCATTTTATTATCCATGCCCACAGATTTTTATTTATTTATTTATTATTGTTATTATTATTATTATTTACTGCATTTATATTCCACTTTTCTCACCCCTGGGGGGGGGGGGGGATGACACTCATCTAATGGCAAGATTCAATGCCAACATATATACAAAACCAAGCATAATAACTGAAATGATAACATATAACTATAAATTAACCATTAAAATCATACATGAAACCATGTAGGTCAACTCCAGATCATGGACTTACTGCTTTTACTGTTTTGAATCTTTGATATTAATGTTAATGTTGTTTTTTTTAACAAAAAAAATTCCCTCTATTTTTAATGTTTTGCAGTTTTACACTCCTGGTCTGTGCCCGTAACAATAAAATTAATTCAAAACATTATATCAAATACACATCTTAAAATGTATTTCTGTGAACTGCATATATTAAAATGCACAGGAAAAAGATTAAAATACAGTAAACACAAGACTGTGTATTTACTTTATTTATTTTATTTTATCTCTTCACATAATTTTGCATCTGTTTATTTCATTTTCTGAGCCAGATGTTATTTTTGCTGTTTGTATTTTATTTTATTTTGTTGTGCTGTAATTCTGGGCTTGGCCTCATGTTAGTTGCTCTGAGTTCCCTTTGTGGAGATGGTAGCAGGGTATAAATAAAGATAGATTATTATTATTATTATTATTATTATTATTATTATTATTATTATTTACTGTATTTGATTATGTTAAAATATAATAAACCTCCAGGCTTGTGTTTTAACTCATTTTAACTACAATATTTTAACTATGTATTTTAACTGTGTTTAAATACAGTCTTGGGTTTACTGTAGTTTAATCTTTGTCCCGAGTATTTTAATATAGGTGTTTTAATTCATTGAGTTTAAAATTGCCTGAGTTGGCCTGCTGGAAGAGAAAGGTCTTCAGATGTGTTTTAAATTCTGACAGCTCATTTAGCCGCCAGATGTTTCATCCAGGGTTCTTATTTCTACTGTGGCCCTTGCAGTTGTTTATCGCCTCATAGCCGCTCTTCATAGTACAATAATTGCTTCCTTCCCGATTCCATCCAGGTACAAGGAGCATGACGATGGCTACATGCGTCTTCAGCTGGTGCGCTACGAAAGTGTAGAGCTGACGGAGCAGCTGCTGAAGGACCGGGAGAAGCAAGGGGAGATGCTGGAGGAGGAGGCTGCTCAGTGCATGGTGCTGGCGGGGGCTGAGGGCAGCCTGCAGGGCATCATCCTCGAACCGTCATTGGCAGAAGAGGAGGCCGGGGTGGAGGACTTGTGCATGGCCATGCCCCCGCAACAAGATGGTGGCGGCAATGCCTCCTCCCCAGATCGTGAGCACAAAGCGCCACCGAGTCCCATCATCCGTGTGGTGAGCCGTACCAACGAACGCGGGGAGAGTGAAACCGTCTACTACGTCTTAGCCAACGCTTCCTCTGAGAACCGAACAGAAGGGCCAACCCCGGGATCGGCCCCTGAGCCAGAAGAGAACGTGATGGACAGACTCCAGAAGACAGCAGAGGAGCTGGGCATTCAGATCGTATGAGGCTCTTCTCGGGCCACTTGCTCCTTGTTCTTTTGCTTCCTTGTTTTCCCAGTTACTGGTGCTATCTAGGAAAGAGGAAGGGGCTTTGCTTTTGCAAGACAGCACTCTGTGGGCCCCAAGCTCCACATAAGGTTTCCTTCCCTGTCTCTGTTTACACCCTTTAATGCAGGCATGGGCAAACAGTTGGTGGGCTGTTAGGAATTGTGAGAGTCGAAATCCAAAACCCCTGGAGGGTTGAAGTTTTCCCAGGCCTGTTTTAATGGTAGAAAGGAAAATGAAGGTCCTATTCCAATGGTGCTCAGTGTGGAAAGCAAGGACTGGTTCGCCAATCGGAGACATTGAGGACACTTGTTGCAGCCGATAGTGCTGAGGGACATAAATACTTCCCCATTGCAAGAAAGGGTTTTTGTTTCCTGCCACGTCCCCTTCCTTGCCTTAAGCTCCACAGTCAGAAATGCTTCCTCCTCTTCGGGTCCATTCCTAAATGCCCCTAAACTCTGTTGTACTTTTTTAAATCCTTTAACCAGTCTCTAACCAGTTCTGCATCTTCCATCTCTGCTTCTTCCATCCTCGTTGAACAACTGACATCCTAAGATACGCGTTTGAACCCTGGCGTCTTTTGTCTCCGAGGGCAAAGGACGCAGGTCTTTGACAGTCTGTTTTTCCCCCCATGCCACGGCTTATTACTGCCTTGCTGTTTTTGCTTGTGGCTGGATTGCCTCCTTGCCCTTCTTTGCATTCTTCATAGGCAGAGCCCTTTTTGGCTTCTCTTGCCTTGCCCAAGACGGGCAAGAAGGGGCTCCCTCAAGACGAAGGGGAAGAAAGGACTTTAATACTTGCCAATGGGGTCTTTCCCCCACATTGGGGGCCCCTCCACTTCCTGCCTTGAAAAGTTTGTGCTAAGACAAAACGACAATAAAAAAGCAAACCACAACTTGACCTCGGGTGTGATGATTTTTTGCAATTTCACCCAAAGGCAGCATTTATTTAGGGCAAAATTGGAGACGGGCTTTGTAGTCCATTGATGAATGGTTCTCTTGAAATCCCCCTGAAAGAGGATGGGATTGAGGAGAAGCCTTCCTTCCTGCGGAGGCATTATATGACTCTGCAGAACTGGGGGAAGTTGCTTTTGTGGATGTCCTGTCCTTGGATCCACAGACATTTAAGGAATGGTCATCCACAAAAGATACCTTCACAAGTTCTACTTTCTCATGTTCTGCCTGCAAACATTTATCATGTGTATTGTCGAAGGCTTTCATGGCTGGAATCACTGGGTTGTTGTAGGTTTTTTCGGGCTTTATGGCCATGGTCTAGTGGCATTCTCTCCTGACGTTTTGCCTGCATCTATGGCAAGCATCCTCAGAGGTAGTGAGGTCTGTTGGAACTAGGAAATGTACAATGTACAATGTACAATGACCAGGGTGAGACAAAGGACTCTTCTGCTGGAGCTAGGTGTGAATGTTTCAACTGACCACCTTGATTAGCATACAATGGCCTGACTGTGCCTGGGGCAAACTTTTGTTGAGAGGTGATTAGATGTCCTTGCCTGCTTCCTCTCTGTTGTTGTGCTGTTGCAATTTTTTAAAAAATACACAAAAAATACACACAAAAAAATACACAAGCATGTTGACAGTTTCAACAGAAAGGAGGAAACCATGAAAATGAACAAAATCTGGCTACCAGTATTAAAAAAAAACTCTAAAATTGCAACAGCACAACAACAGAGAGGACAATGGCCATATAGCCCGTAAAAACCTACAACAACCCATTTATCATGGGTCTGTTTACATTCTCCCCAATGTAGATGCCTTTGGTTGTCAGGTGTTCTGTTGTGCCTTTAAGACAGGCCTGGGCAAACTTGGGCCCTCTGGGTGTTTTGGACAGCCAGTAGGCTGTTAGGAATTGTGGGAGTTGAAATCCAAAATACCTGGAGGGCCCAAGTTTGCCCAGGCCTGCCTTAAGGTGTTTAAGTGCCTTTAATATGCTCTAAGACAGAAAAAAGGAGGAAAGGAGAGAGAGAAAAAGAAAAAGGAATGTAGCAACACCTTTATTGTCGGTTTTTGTTTTTGTTTTTGTTTTTTGCTTTACCACTTTTTTCAGATGCAGAATGAAGAAGTGGTTTTATATCACAAAATCTCCTGCTAAAATAAAAACCCATGAGTCTGAAAGGTGCTGCTACATTCTCTTATTACCTCTACCTTCCTCCTTTTCATATTGCAAGATACTTAACACAACCATGTCTTGGAAGTCTAATATAGAGGATGTCTGTGTTGGGCCTGATCCATCTTATTTGTTTGCTCCCCTTAGAACGCTCTAGATCAGTGGTTCCCAGCCTTTTTTTGACCAGGGACCATTCTCCAACATTAGTACCAAAAGTTTACAAATCAGTTTTGGTCAACTTTAGATTCAGTTTGGTTATTTGGGGTGCTGATTCAGAAAACTGCATTGGATAGACCACATCAGCTCTAGTTTCTGATACAGATAGAGATGCCATCCAGTAGTTGCCATCTGCTCGCCCACAGAAAACCATATTTAATAAGCCTCGGCATGATAAGAGGCTTTTGCAAGACGAGTCGCTGTTGTTGCAACAATTTAGTAACGAGGCCGTGGACCATATTTTAGTTTTTGCGGACCACTGGTGGTCCATGGTCCACAGGTTGGGAACCACTGTTCTAGATGCTGCCAAGGTTTTGAGGTTGTTTCTGGGTTTCTCTTCTGCATTTTCCCATTCCTTTCAAGGATCGAAGGGCCGGCTCCTGTCCTAACCGAGCCCTGCATAATCTCCTTATCCAGCTCTTTGCAGAGCTCATTTTACAAGGAAAACCCCTTCTGTCCCAGAGGTGACCCCAGGTTGCCTTCTCTGAAACCCTTTGTGTCATCTAATGTAGCCTCAAAACAACCCTGCCAGGTAGGGGAAGATCGTCGATGCAATCCATGCAGCCATGGTTTTCATCAAAGCCACTGGTCTCCATGTGCTAAACTCTGCACAGCGTTTGGATATGATTTGTTTTAAAGGGATATGGTTCCACAAAAGTATGGGCCACCAAAGCCTGATCGATCCTAGGAAGTGATTCTGTTTGGATTCTAGCAATCATGGGCCAGGGTCTAAAATATTATCTGAGAAGGAATGCAAGACCATATGACTTTATACACCTCCTTTGACTGCATGGGGTTCCAGTTTGGATGCAGGGGATAAAGAGAATCCAGTACAGTTTGAGAATCCCATATCCATAAATTTGAAATCTGAAATACTCCAAAGATAAAGGTAAAAGTTTCCCCTGGAATTAAGTCTAGCCGTGTCCGACTCTGGGAGATGATGCTCATCTCCATTTCTAAACCGAAGAGCCGGCATTGTCCATAGACGACACCTATGCCATGTGGCCAGCATGACTGCATGGAGTGCCGTTACCTTCCCACCTTAGTAGTACCTATTGATCTACTCATATTTGCATATTTTTGAACAGCTATGTTGGCAGAAGATGGGGCTAACAGTGGGAGTTCACCCTACTCCCTGTATTCGAACCGCTAACCTTTTGGTCAGCAAGTTTGGCATTTCAGCGCCACCCACTGCGCCACCAGGGAGCTCAAAAACCGTCTCCAAAATCATGGTTGAGATAGTGACATCATAATAATAATAATAATAATAATAATAATAATAATAATCCATTTCCTCAAGATTGCATTGTTGTTATGATGATTATTATTTCTACCCTGCTTTTCCTCTTTAAAAAGGGACCCAAAGCATTAAACACAAAATGCAAAGCAAACTGCTTAAAACCACATATATACATATACATATATATATATATATATATATAGGTTTTTAAGTGGTTATATTTAAGTGGTTATATTGGGGGATATATTTATGTGTGTGTGTGCGTGTGTATGTGTATACACACACACTTAACTGTCCCCTGCCATATGTTGCTGTGGCCCAGTCTGGTGATCTGGAAAATACAGTAATGAGAAAGTGTTGGTTTCTAATATATGTAATGTCTTTATGTTTGTGGGTAAACAGTATTTCTTGCTGTTTCCTTGTCAGTGTTAATGTGGAGATTGTCTGGTTTGCCTACTCTGGAACAGGCAACATAGAATTGTCCTTCTTTAGGGGTCCCTTTCAAATCTATGATATTATATCTTTCTTTATGTGAATCATATATCTCTATCTATGGCTGGATGGCGCTTTGATTACGTTTTCTTGCCCTGGTGAAGGGAGTTGGACTGAATGGCCCTAAGTATTTTCTCTTGGTCATGGGGGTTCTGTGTGGGAAGTTTGCCCCAATTCTGTTGTTCGTGGGGTTCAGAATGCTCTTTGCTTGCAGGTGAACTATAAATTCCAGCAACTACAACTCCCAAATGTCAAAGTCTATTTTCCCCAAACCCCATCTGTGTTCATATTTGGGCATATGGAATATTCGTGCCAAGTTTGGTCCAGATCCATCATTGTTTGGGTTTACAGTGCTCTCTGGATGTAGGTGAACTGCAACTCCCAGACTTAAGGTCAATGCCCATCAATGCACATGTTGGTCAAAGGAATCCTGTGTGCCATATTTGGTTCAATGCCATCATTGGTGGGGTTCAGAATGCTCTTTTTTGTAGGTGAACTATAAATCCCAGCAACTATTACTCCCTAATGACAAAATCCTTTTTTGGAGTGATAGTCACTCCTTGGGTTGTTAGGTGTCTTGTGGCCAAATTTGGTGTCAGTTCGTCCAGTGGTTTTTTGAGTTATGTTAATCCCACAAACAAATATTACATTTTTATATACTAGCCGTCCCGTGCCATGCGTTGCTGTGGCCCACATGGGGGTTCTGTGGCCCAATTCTATCGTTGGTGGTGTTCAGAATGCTCTGTGATTGTAGGTGAACTATAAATTCCAACAACTACAACTCCCAAATGTCAAGATTCTATTTTCCCCAAACTCCACCAGTGTTCACATTTGGGCATATTGAGTATTCTTGTAGAGTTTGGTCCAGATCCATCATTGTTTGAGTCTACAGTCATCTTTGGATGTAGGTGAACTACAACTCCAAAACCAAAGGACACTGCCCACCAAACCCTTCCAGTATTTGCTGTTGGTCATGGGAGTTCTGTGTGCCAAGTTTGATTCAATTCCATCATTGGTTGAATTCAGAATGCTCTTTGTTTGGAGGTGAACTATAAATCCCAGAAACTACAACTCCCAAATGACAAAATCAATGTTTTTTGAGTGAAGGACAAAGATCGGGTTGTTAGGTGTCTTGTGTCCAAATTTGGTGTCAATTCGTCCAGTGGTTTTTGAGTTCTGTGAATACCACAAACGAACATTACATTTTTATTTATATAGACTAGATGTCCCCTGCCACGTGTTGCTGTGGCTCAGACTGTATATGTGCTGTGTGTGTATATGTGTGTGTATATATTTGTGTATATGTGTGTTTGCGTGTATATGTGTAGTTTTGCGCATGAGTTGTAATGTGTTTTTGATTTTTGGCTTTTTAAATCTCTTCTGCTGTGTTTCTTTTAGTGTTTTTAAGAGTGATGGTCACTCATTGGCCTGGGAGGTTTAGTGTGTTCAGATTATGTGTCAATTCGCCCATTGGTTTTTGAGTTATGTTATACTAGATGTCCCCTGCCACGCGTTGCTGTGGCTCAGACTGTGTATATGTGTTGTGTGTGTGTGTATATATGTGTGTGTATATATTTGTGTATATATGTGTTTATGTGTATATGTGTGTATATATACACATAAACACATGTATATATGTGTATATATATATGTGTAAATATATGTATATATTTATGTGTATATATATGTGTGTTTATGTGTATGTATACACGTGTATATGTGTAGTTTTGCGCATGAGTTGTAATGTGTTTTGATTTTTGACTATTTAAATCTCTTCTGCTGTGTTTTTTTTAGTGTTTTTATGAGTGATGGTTACTCGTTGGCCTGAGAGGTTTAGTGTGTTCAAATTTGGTGTCAATTCGCCCATTGGGTTTTGAGTTATGTTACTCCCACAAACGAACACTACATTTTTATTTATATAGATATATATATAAGGGATGCTCAACCTGTAATCGCTTTTTGCTGCGGGATTATCTGTGCCACGGATGGAGGAGGGGATGTTCGGTGCAGGATTAATGGGAGCTACTCAATCTCATCCATGTGCTTCTTTCTCTTTTTTCCCCTTCCTTGGCTTTGAGAAGGAAAGATTTCTTTCTTGTGTGTATGCAGGGTATGTATTTGGGCACCCCAAAGTACTTGGAGTGGAACTAGCCAAAGCCATGGTGGGATGATGGAGAGGAGTCTGCCCTAAACCCCCATGTCTTTCGAAGGAAGGAGCAAAACAGCCAGGGAGGAGGAATCCAAGGGTTCGGATCCACCATGCGCTTTGAGGCCTTAGGAATTATTTCATTCCTCCTCCTTCTCTTTGCATCTGAATCTCTCTGGGGCGAAGAATTGGAAGGTAAGTTGGCAAAGAAAATGCTGAAAGCAGAGTTTCCAAATAAAAGATTGTTGGATTAGTTGGAACAGTAGCAGTAAGAAAGGAAACCCACTGTTTTGTTTGTGAGGATGCTATTTCAAAGGATGCAATGCAATGGGGAAATATAGCCCTAGTTTAAATCTGAAACTTGGGAAGCTGTTTTCTCTGGGTGCATCTACACTGTAGAATTAATGCAGTTTGGCACCACTTTAAATCTGCAACGGTTCAATGCGATGGAATCTGGGAGTTGTAGTTTCTCAGCACTCTTGAGAAGGGAAGACTCAAGACCTTGCAAAACTACAAATCCCAAGTATTTTCGGTCTCAATTGAGGGTTCTTAACTGTTCATCTCCATTGTTGAATTACTCAAGACCTTGCAAAACTACAACTCCCAAGTCTTTTCGGTCTCAATTGGGGGTCTTAACTGTTCATCTCCATTGTTGAATTACTCAAGACCTTGCAAAACTACAAATCCCAAGTATTTTCGGTCTCAATTGAAGGTCTTAACTGTTTATTTCCATTGTTGAATTACTCAAGACCTTGCAAAACTACAAATCCCAAGTCTTTTCAGTCTCAATTGGGGGTCTTAACTGTTTGTCTCCATTGTTGAATTACTCAAGACCTTGCAAAACTACAAATCCCAACTCTTTTTGGTCTCAATTGGGGGTCTTAACTGTTCATCTCCATTGTAGAATTAATGCACTTCGATGCCACTTGAACTGCCATGGCTCAATGCTTTGGCATCAGCAGAGCTGCAGTTTTACAAAGGCTTTAGCCTTCTTGAGGCCTCACCAAACTACAAATCCCAGGATTTCGTAATATTGAGCCATGGTAGGGAATGTAGTGCCAAGCGGCATTAACTGGACAGTGTAGATGCATCCTTTGCCTTAGTTGATAACCTGGAAGATGGGTCTAATGCTGAAAATTTAGGGATGTGATTTGCATCTTTCTGGGTCCTTTATTTAAGGTCTCAATACCACATCCAAAAATAATAAACAGTTAGTCTTAGGCGCACTGGCTCTTTTTCTCCCCATTCTCCTGTCCATATGTGCATTACGTCATTTTTGAATGTGGACACACGTGTAATATTGCATGGTGGAAGGTACCTGAAAGCAGTACTTTAATGCATGGAGTATTTTGGTAGAACCAACATTCATTAACTCTGGATGTCATGCATTTCAAATTCTGGGTCAGGTAATAATTTGCACCGAATTACCTGTATTTGGAGCCCCCGGTAGTGCAATGGGTTAAACCCCTGAGCTGTTAAAATTGTTGACCAAAAGGTCGCAGGTTCGAATCTGGGGAGCGACATGAGCTCCCGCTGTCAGCCCCAGCTTATGCCAACCTAGCAGTTCAAAAACATGCAAATGTGAGTAGATCAATAGATACCGCTCCGGCAGGATGGTAACAGTGCTCCATGCAGTCATGCTGGCCATATGACCTTGGAGGTGTCTATGGTCAACGCTGGCTCTTCGGCTTAGAAATGGAGATGAGCACCACCAGCCAGAGTCAGACATGACTGGACTTAATGTAAGAGGAAAACCTTTACCGTTACCTAAAAAGGGTTAATTTTGTCTTTTCCCAGCACATTCAGATACTTACTGGTCAGGAACGGCTCCTATCTGCCTTGGAGGCTGCAAAGGGAAGCACAAAGAATTGAAAAAGAGCCAATGTGGAAATGGAAGTTGCTGCTGGTTGGGATATAAATCCTTTTGCCGAGGTATGAGTAACTCATGGATAATAATAATAATAATAATAATAATAATAATAATAATAATAATAATAGTAATGGGTTGTTGTAGGGTTTTTTGGGCTATATGGCTATGTTCTCGAGGCATTCTCTCCTGACGTTTCGCCTGCATCTATGGCAAGCATCCTCAGAGGTTGTGAGGTCTCACAACCTCTGAGGATGCTTGCCATAGATGCAGGCGAAATGTCAGGAGAGAATGCTTCTAGAACATGGCCATATAGCCCGAAAAACCTACAACAACCCAGTGATTCCAGCCATGAAAGCCTTTGACAATAATAATAATAATAATAATAATAATAATAATAATGTAATAATAATAATAATAAGAATAAGAATAATGTTGCAATCCCAGGTGACAGCAGAATTGATGAGAAGCAACTGAAAAAGTTGACATGATATGAGGATTTAAAGATCGAACTGCAAAGACTCTGGCAAAGACAAGCCAGTCAAGGTGCCTCAAGACCTTGGTCTGCACTTAAAAACAATTGGTGCTGGCAAAATTACCATCTCTGAGCTGCAAAAGGCCACCCTACTGGGATCTGCATGCATTATTCGCTGATACATCTCACAGTCCTAAATACTTGGGAACTGTCCAACGTGTGATCAAATACAAAAGCCAGCACAGTGATCTTGTTTCCTGTGTACTAATCTTGTTGTGTATCAAATCAGGCATGTAGCCGGGGGGGGGGGGGGGGGGGGCTCGGGGGGCTTCAGCCCCCCCCCCCTGAAATTCTCATGGTGGTTCGCGAAAAGGCCTTACTGGTGCATTATTTAAACTGTTATGTTTATTCATATCATGATCTGATCACCATACTCAATATATCCCATATGCATGGGGGTATTGGGGTAATGATACAAAAGGTTTGCTAGGCTAGACCCTCTTTCACTCAGACTCAGCCCCCCCCCAAAACTCAGCCCCCCTGAACCCCCCTGAAAAAAATTCAGCCCCCCCCCCCCCGAAACGAAATCCTGGCTACGGGCCTGTATCAAATAATAATAATAGACATCAAATCCCACCCCAGTTGCAAGCATTTGGTGGACAAATCCTCCTCTTTCACCTGTCCCTCTGAGATCCTCTGTTTCTAATGAGGACAAAACTTTAAAGCTTTGCTAATCGACTCTAATAGGTAACGGGGGAAGCGGAGCAAGAGGCAGGATTACCATTGGATTAATCTTTCTAAAAGGATCAGCGGCCTCCGTGGAGTCATAGAGGCCTCTTCGAGTTAGACCTAAGAATCCTCTTTATTCAGCAGAACTTGGGAAGTTACTTTTTTTTAATCACAGAGGTCTTGAGTTACACTAGGCAGGACTACAACAACAGCTCTAGCTAAAGATCTAGCTAAGGCCCCTTTTCGTCACCCCAAAAGAATAATAATAATAATAATAATTATTATTATTATTATTATTATTAAAAAAAAAACTTTATTTATACCCCGTTACTATCTCCCCAAGGGACTCAGTGCGGTTTACATGAGGCCAAGCCCACAGTACATCAATAAACAAAAGCAATTAACAAAAAAAACAATCAATACAATATAATTAATATAAATCACATAAACAAAAAATAAGCAATAACAATAAACAGTAACACACAGCATTTAAAACCTATGGCCGGGTCAAATGTAATAATTTAAAATTTAAAAAATAATGCTGGGCATGAACAAGGTAGGATATAACTGGGATAGGGTTTTCAAAGAGAGATGAGGGAACGCAGTCAGTCCTAAATCTGTGGTAAAGTGCATTTGAGGGCATATTGCTGAGAGATTTCCTTATTCTGGGAAGGCACACTGGAACAGCCACGTTTTCAGGCTCCTCCTAAAGACTGCCAGAGTTGGGGTATGTCTGATGTCCTTGGGAAGTGAGTTCCAGAGTTGGGGAGCCACCACCGAGAAGGCCCTCTCCCTCGTCCCCACCAATCGCGCCTGTGAAGGAGGTGGGAACGCAAGCAGGGCCTCTCCAGATGATCGAAGAGATCGCGTGGGTTCGTACACAGAAATGCGGTCACACAGAAGACTGTGGAAGAACCTACCAAAGAAAGATGCACCATAGCAGCTAGAGTAGCTGTTGGAATTTAAGACACAATGAAAGATCTATTTCTCTCTGCGGAAGTCTGACCTAGTCAATGTTAAGTTGTAAATCTTAACCTGTGTTTTATTAGTAAACTTTAAGCTGCATTTTGTGTGTACTTTTTATATGTATTTTAATAGTGCTTTACTTTATCTCTCTGCTTTAACTATGTTGCATCCCACCTCGAACCTTAATGAGAGGCAAGATGATAACAACAACAACAAATTATCATTGTTATTGTTGTTATTATTATTATCATCATAATCTTGCCTCTCATTAAGGTTTGAGGTGGGATGCAACATAATGGCACCCGATGGAGGGGATTGTCGTCGTCATCATTATTATTATTTATTATTTCTTTACGTCATTTTTATCCCGCCCATTTCAGCCCAAAGGTGACTCAGGGTGGCGTACCGACTGACAACAATTAGATGCCACACACACACACACAAACACATATATACACATACCATGTAAGCCGCACCGAGTTCCGTCGGGGAGATGGTGGTGGGATATCAATAAAGTTTATTATTATTATTTATTATTAAAAGCAATGTAATCACATCATAAATACATATAAAATCCATAAAAGCTATAAAAACTAAATATCTCTCTCTCTCTCTCTCTCTCTCTATATATATATATATATATATATATATATATATTAAAAACAATACCTTCCAGTCCGATTCCTCATCCGTTTACATCGTCTTAGCCGTTGCGTGTTCGTATTACAATTTTGTGTTTATCTAATCACGCTGAAGCTCCAAACACTTGCTCAAAGAGACAGGTTTCAATCTTTTCTGAAAGGTCAGAAGGGAGGGGGCCGATCTAATATCCTTGGGAAGGGAGTTCCACAGCCAAGGGGCCACCTCTGAGAAGGCCCTGTCAAACTACTCTGGAACTTCCAGATTCAGACAGACAGTGTTTTGGAGCATGAGACTCCTGACCTCACGATCGTGGAAAAAAACAAAGTGTGGATCTGTGAGGTCTCACAACCTCTGAGGATCCTTGCTATAGATGCAGGCGAAACGTCAGGAGAGAATGCCTTTAGAACATAGCCATATAGCCTGAAAAAACCTACAACAGCCCAGTGATTCCAGCCATGAAACCCTTTGACAATACATTGTGTATTGATGGTTTGTCTCCTTCTCTCCAGTGAACTGTGGCCGACCGGAAGCAGAGTTCAATTCGGTGGTCTATGGCAATGACTGGTGGGTGGGATCTGTAGTGCGCTACCGCTGCCGGGCAGGGTTCCTGCTGGTGGGTGACCCGGCCAGCGCCTGCCAGTCCAGCGGGCACTGGACCCCCAAGCCAACTTGCCTTCGTAAGTAATAGCACAGAAGTCTTGAGCATAGTGGTTACAGTAGTATCACACTGTATTGAGGCCACCGTATAGATGCCCTCTTTGAGTCCTTCTCCCGCCGTATCTCTTTGGCACAGGGATCTGCCTCCGAGGCCGGATCGAGATCAACGAGCGGGACATTGATGGGAGCTGCTCCTCCACCTGCCCCAAGAAGGCCCACCTGGGGGCCCTCCTCAACCACGGCTGCATCAAGATCTCCGCCTGCGTCACCAAGCAATCCGGCTGGACTCGGTGGTTCTCCCGCTGTGACTTCTGCGAGTGCGACTGCTACGTCCCGTGCTGTAAGCATTCTGCAAAGAGCAGCGCAGTTGAGCATCACAGAATCAGAATAGACCCCAAGGGCCACCCAATGCAACTCTGCCATGAAGGAAGACACAACCAAAGCCCTCCTGGCAGATGGCCATCCAGCCTCTGCTTGGAAACCTCCAGAGAAAGAAGGAAACTCAATTGGACTCCCAGGCAGATGTTTGCGAATGAATAACCAACTGAATCATAAAATTTGGAAGAGACATCAAGGTCCCTTCCAGTCCAAAACGATTCTGCTAATCAGGATGGCAACATTTAATCCCTCCCAGCAGATAGCCATCCAGCCTCCACTTAAAAACCTCCAGAGAAGGAGGCTCCAACAGACTGCTAGGCAGTTTGTAATCCACTATAATTGGAAGGGATCCCTAAACATCCTCCAGTCCAACCCCATTCTGACAGGCAGGAAGATACAATCAAAGCCCTCAGCAGATGGCCATCCAGCCTCTGCTTGGAAAACTCCAGAGAAAGAAGGAAATTCCACTGGACTCCTAGGCAGATCTTTGCAAATGAATAGCCAACTGAATCATAAGATTTGGAAGTGACATCAAGGTCCCTTCAAGTCCAAAACCATTCTGCTAGACAGGATGGCATCATCTAATCCCTCCCAGCAGATAGCCATCCAGCCTCCACTTAAAAACCTCCAGAGAAGGAGGCTCCAAGAGACTCCTAGGCAGTTTGTAATCCACCATAATTAGAAGGGATCCCTAAACGCCCTCCAGTTCAAGGCAGGAAGACACAAATAAAGCCCTCCCAGCAGATGGCCATCCAACCTCTGCTTAAAAAGCTCCAAAGAAGGAGCTTTCAATACTTTTGCAATGCAGTGTATTTATAGAAATCCAATGGTTGGAAGAGACCCCATGGGCCATCCAGTCCAGCCCCTTCTACCAGATAGGAAAAGCACAATCAAAGCCCTCTCAACAGATGGCCCCCCAGCCTCTGTTTCAAGACCTCCAGAGAAGGAGTCTCCACCAAACCTCTATTCCACTGTGAAACATCTCTTATTGTTAGAAGATTTTTTTCCTAATGTTTCTGTAGAATCTCTTTTCCAACATATGGAGTCCCTAAGATGAACCTATCGTGGGGTTTCCTGGGGCTGAGAGGGTGTGAGCAAGTCTCAGCTTCCATGGCCAAGAGAATATTCGAACCCTTGTCTCCGGAGTCTTGAGGTGCATCTGCACTATAGAATGAACGCTGCATAAATCTACTTCGATTGCCAAGACTATGGAATCCTGGGATTTGTAGTTTGGTGATGCACTAATGGCAGCAAGATAAAATACTTTCAAAACTACAAATCCCAGAATTCCCTAGCATTGAGCCAAGGCAGTTCAAATGGTAGGCTGTTAGGAATTGTGGGAGTCCAAAACACCTGGGGGAAACTGTGTAAGATTAGTGCTAGGAACAACAGGGTTGTCAAGAGCAAGTATGAGTGCCAAATTCAAAGGTCGTCCTCCTTTTTGCTCTGCAGCTTCATCGATCTAACATCCATCTAGATGGAATTCTGATATTGTGATATGACGACTTCCCGCTGCCAAAGGAATTGCGATATTGTGATATGCCGACTTCTAGGTAAGTGTTAGAGATGTACCCATTCCAACGAATGAAAAATCCAAAATCCAAAAACCAGTAGAGTCTCTTTATCTGGAGGTTTTAAAGCAGAAGCAGGATGGCCATCAGTCAGGAGGGCTTCAATTGTGGATTACTTCATGGCAAAATGGGGGTTGGACTGGATGGCCTTTGGGGGTTCCCTTCCAATTCTAAGATTCTGTGATGTTTCAGAAAATCCCAATGTAGCTGAAGTATTCAGCTGTTGAGAGCCATAGCTCAAGGTTGTTGTTGTTGTTGTTGTTGTTGTCACTGTTAGGATAGAGCTCTTGATTGACATGGAGAAGGTCCAGGTTTAATCTCCAATTGTTGTTGTTGTTAGGACAGAGCTCTTGATTGACATACAGAAGGTCCAGGTTTAGTCCCCAATTGTTGTTTTTGTTGTTGTTGTTGTTGTTGTTCTTGTTGTTGTTGTTGTTTTTATTGTTAGGACAGAGCTCTTGATTGACATGCAGAAGGTTCAGGTTTAATCCCTACTTGTTGTTACTGTTGTTGTTATTGTTAGGACAGAGCTCTTGATTGACATGCAGAAGTTCCAGGTTTAATCCCCAATTGTTATTGTTGTTGTTGTTGTTGTTATTGTTAGGACAGAGCTCTTGATTGACATGCAGAAGGTCCAGGTTTAGTCCCTAATTGTTGTTGTTATTGTTAGGACAGAGCTCTTGATTGACATGCAGAAGGTCCAAGTTTAATCCCCAATTGTTGTTGTTGTTGTTGTTGTTTTTAGTGTTAGGATAGAGCTCTTGATTGACATGCAGAAGGTCCTGGTTTAATCCCCACTTGTTGTTGCTGTTGTTGTTAGGACAAAGTTCTTGATTGACATGCAGAAGGTCCAGGTTTAATCCCCAATTGTTGTTGTTGTTGTTGTTGTTGTTGTTGTTAGGACAGAGCTCTTGARTGACATGCAGAAAGTCCAGGTTTAGTCCCTAATTGTTGTTGTTATTGTTAGGCAGAGCTCTTGATTGACATGCAAAAGGTCCAAGTTTAATCCCCAATTGTTGTTGTTGTTGTTGTTGTTGTTGTTGTTTTTAGTGTTAGGACAGAGCTCTTGATTGACATGCAGAAGGTCCAGGTTTAGTCCCTAATTGTTGTTGTTATTGTTAGGACAGAGCTCTTGATTGACATGCAAAAGGTCCAAGTTTAATCCCCAATTGTTGTTGTTGTTGTTGTTYTTGTTAGGACAGAGCTCTTGATTGACATGCAGAAGGTCCAGGTTTAATCCCCAATTGCTGTTGATGTTGTTGTTGTTGTTTTTGTTAGGACAGAGCTCTTGATTGTCATGTAGAAGGTCCAGGTTTAATCTCCAATTTTTCCATTTTATCTGTGTTTTTTTCCTGCTAAAATTAGGATAATTTTTTTTAAAAAATTAAGAAAAAAATTGGGATAATTATTTCTCCGGATTAATTGATGCTGATGTGAATATGCATGCTTCAGTATGTCTGCATTCACATCGCCAACATTAAATAATACTAGGCATGACAATCCACATTCGATGTGTTATCGAAGGCTTTCCTGGCCAGAACGACTGGGTTGTTGTGAGTTTTCTGGCCTGTCTGGCCATGTTCCAGAAGCATTCTCTCCTGATGTTTCGCCCACATCTGTGGCAGGCATCCTCAGAAGTTGTGAGGTCTGTTGGAAACTAAGTAAGTGAGGTTTATATATCTGGGAATGGGAGAAAGAACTCTGGTCTGTTTGAGGCAAGTGTGAATGTTGCAATTGGCCAACTCAATTAGCACTGAAAAGCCTTGCAGCTTCAAAGCCTGGCTGATTCCTGCCTGGAGGAATCCTTTGTTACACATTTCTACATGGAACACTTTGAGAAACAAGTCCTGGAAACAGCAACAAAAAAGCTCACGGCTTAGCGTGAGAAGGGGCCCCCAAAGGACATCTAGTCCATCCTGTTGATGCCAGAAATCCAGAGCTGCAGCATTCCACCTTCATTAAGCTTAATATGATTTAGTTCATCCTGATTGTGTTATCTTTGAGGATCTTTGAGAGGAAGACCTTCTGTTACTGGGAAATCAAAGGGTGCATCTACATTGTGGAATTGATGCAGTTTTATCCCACTGCCATGGCTCATTGCTATGGAATCTGAAAAGACAGAGAAAGAATAGCTAGTAGGATAGAGTCTGACAATGTTGCAAAAACATGACTTTAAAAAAAAAAACCAAATTAAATATCCTTGAAAGGTCACCTTGTAGCCCAACTTTGATGAAGGGAAATCTCAGTCTCTGTCTGCGTCAAATATCGAAGATGAGTGACGCATGCAAAATGTATGCAAAACCTCATGACTTGACTGGGAAATGGGCAAGAAGAGAAAATGGTAGTGTTATTTTACATTATTTGCACTGGTTTCAATTTGTTTTATGCAGGAAGTGATTTATTCTGTTTTAGACTATTTTTTAATCTAGCTATGGTACCCCCCCCCCCCCATGATTTATAGTTCACCAAGGGCTAACGAATAAATATATGACTTTTCCCCCTTTATTAAAAACTTTTCTGGAGGTTCCGGAGTTGCGCAAGTTCAAGGCACCAGAAGATCAAGAACACACCCAGCAGCAGCTGTACCCTCATAAACTATATCATTTCTAACCCATCAATAAATTGTGCATACTTTATGATTTTCGTGTAACGTATCTTTCAGCTGTGTATTGTATCTATTTCTTATATAGAATGTATCTAAACTGCTTTATGGAAATGTATCAAAATGTAGCCACCCCTCCATGACCCTGCTGAAACAATCCCCTAGGAATAGGAAGGTTGGGCAAATCCCTCTGGCTGTTTCCCAAGCCAGATAATCACCAGGTTCATTGTGTGTATGTACAAAGATAGGTGATTTCTCTGGGCAGCCAGATAAGCCAGATGTTTGTGTAATTAACCTGAGGCTGAGAGCCTGACGCTCCCTCACGAAAAAGTGGCTTTCAGTATGTGCATCCTTTAACTCTTTTATTGACAGCTGAGTCCTTGATAGCCAAGGATTAGTATCTTTTGTCCTCCGAGCCTTGTGTTGTGACTCAGCTAGAATCACAGACTGTCTCTGATGAGGATGATGGGACTCAGGTTCACAGTTTGGTTCAAGATGTCCCTGCTATAGATGATGAAGAAGTGCAGTTTCCCACAACAAAGCATGAGAGTGAGAGTGCTGATACTGAAAATAGCCAGGTGCAGATAGATTCAGAGAAGGAAGATAATTCTCAGAAGATAACTATAAAGACTTCTGGCTGTGTGTGGTTTGGTGTCTTCAGCAAGGTGAATCTACTCTGAGGTGCAACACCTCGCACCATTGTTTCTTGAGCTCCATATCTTTGTTTAACACGGAACTGTATAGTTGAGCTAATCAGAAACTCATCAACATATCATTGCTATTGTCTTCTTCTGGATCACATCCTCCCAGGGGTCATTTCTGCAGCTGATTGGTCCTTTACCCTGACCAATCCCCAGCTGCCATTCTCCTTGCCAAGGGATTCCCTGCCTGGAAGTTGTGATGTCAGCTGAGCTTTCAACCAATCCAGGCATGGATTCTAGCCAGCCTCTTTTCTGGCAAGGGAGCGGAAGGTTTGAATGGCAGTCAGAACTCTATAAGATGTCTTGCATTGCTTGTACTTGCATCCCTTTTGGCCAAATTATCTGTGGCTTGTCTTCAACATGGTGAGTTGTTTTCTCTGTCCTGGCCTTTCTGGCTTAACACACGCTCACCAGGCATGGATCTTCCTATCCGTGGTCCTAGCTAAACACTTCATTTTCAATTGCTGCCATTTATTCTCCTATATAGAATTTGGTTATATGTCTCCGTAAAATCTTCAGAAATGGGGCAGTATTGAAATATTGTAATAAATAAAATTAATAATTAATAACATAAGGATTTGCTTCTTACAAATCAGAATCCTGCCCCCACTGAATTTTCTTCAGTCCCCCATTTTTTAGCTTTGCACTAACTTAACAGTTGTTGTAATAATAATAATAATAACAATTATTATTATTATTATTATTATTATTATTATTATTAGACTGTCAGAGTTTTGGAGCACAATACTCCTGACCTCACAATCGTGTTAAAAAACAAAGTATGGATCGTTGATGTTGCAATCCCAGGCGACAGCAGGATTGAAGAGAAACAACTGGAAAAGCTGACATAATAGGAGGATTTAAAGGTCGGACTGCAAAGTCTGGCACAAACCAGTAAATTTGGTCCCAGTGGTGATCAGCTCACAGGGTGCAGTGCCTAAAGACTTTGGCCTGCACTTGAACACAATTGGCGCTGCCAAGATTACCATCTGCCACCCTACTGGGATCTGCACGCATTATTCGCCGATACATCACACAGTCCTAGACACTTGGGAAGTGTCCGACATGTGATCCAATACAACAACCAGCAGAGTGTCTGCTGTGGACTCATCTTGTTGTGTTTCAAATAATAATAATAATAATAATAATAATAATAATAATAATCAGACATCTCCGCCTACGAACCCACTAGGACTTTAAGATCTTCTGGGGAGGCCCTGCTCTCGATCCCGCCTGCAACACAGGCACGTTTGGCGGGGACGAGGGACAGGGCCTTCTCAGTGGTGGCCCCTCGGCTGTGGAACGCCCTTCCTACGGACATTAGATTGGCCCCCTCATTAATGGTATTTCGGAGAAAAGTGAAAACCTGGTTATTTGAACAGGCGTTTGGATAGGCAGTACAATGAATATAGGAAAACGGAACTACGGATGACGAGCTGGATCATGATTCTAGTTATGAGATGCTAATGAGTTGTTTACTGATGTGTAATTACTTAGTATATTATTGTGCTAATTGTTTTTAAATGGTTTGTATGATGCTAGCATTGAATTTTTGCTCCTGTTGTTAACCGCGTTGAGTCGCCTAAGGGCTGAGAAACTGCGGTATACAAATAAAGTAAATAATAAATACATAAATAAATAAGTTTGGGTAATTATTGGAGGAGGAAAATTGTATTTCTTGTTATTAATTGAACTGAAATGAATAACGGCAGGAAAAATAATGAAATGTTTTCAAAAAATATTCCATTGAGAGAAAGCGATTCCTAAGTAGCTGATTATTTTTTCCCCTCTATCACAGCAAACCAATGGACACAAGGGGGCATGCGAGAGCCATAGGTTGGAAGGGAAACTTTGGGTGCATAGGCACTGTGGAATTAATGCAGTTTGACCTTGTGTAACTCACAAAAACTACAACCCCCAATGATTCCACACCAGTCCTAATGGTGGCAAACTTCATTCATTCCACCGTGCTGATGTGACCTGCCTGGTGGCATCCCAAGTGGATTGACCACTTGCCAAAAGGGGAAAATCAAGACTCCGGGGATACCTTTGGTTGAGATAGGCTTCATCCTTTCCTCCCTGAAGCTGCTTTATCCATCGATGATGCATTCCCAATTTGCACGCAAAACATTCTTTGCACATACAAATCCCTCCCTGCCCTGGCACAGGGAGCAGTTGGCAGC